CTTTCTGACTTTGGGGATCAAGCTCTTAATCACAGCATTTACATGTTCCTCGAAAATCCTGGAGCCCTTCAGAGCTCCCTGGGAGAGATCAGCACCCGTGGCTCCCTTCTAGGGCCCAGGCTAGGGAAATTAGGACCACATATGCTTGCCAGCACTACTCGGGACTCTACGTTATGCAAACTCTGTCCTTCTCAAAACTAACAAATGAGCTTCAGATTAGCTGCTAGGGATTTAAAAAACCCTCTACTGTCTAATTTCTTGTGTAATTCAGCATTCAACAGCCATTCAAGGGAACGGAGGGTGCTGGGTCTGCAACTTTATTAGAACCCCAATTCTGCATTTCTCGTTTTCCTAGCACCTCTCAAACACAAAAACATTTTAACCCTTAGCACTACTTCCTAGGGTGGAGGCTATGATCTTGGCTGTCTCTGGTTCCGGAAAGGTAGACAAGAGAAACTCATATGTGGTTCAGGGAAAGAAGAAGGGATGGGTGGTGACTTGTGGGTGGGTAGGGAAGTGTATTCCCCTGGGCACACAAAAGCAGAACTTGGCTTCTGTCATTAACTGGTTCCATGAAGCTGAGCCTGAACCTGACCCACAGGAAGCCAGAACTGTCTGCACCTCCCCTTTCTCTCAAAGAGAAATCAGGCACAGGGATTTCCCTGGGAGTAGCATTAATGAGGTGTGAGGGAGCTAGGGTCTCAGGTTCCTAGATTGGGTTTTGCATTCCCTGTAAAAGGAAAGAGAGCTTAATTTCCACTAGCCTGGGACACTTTCTCTTTTAAAATCCATCATTTCTCTTTTTTTTTTTTAAAGATTTTATTTATTTATTTGAGAGAGAGAGAATGAGAGATAGAGAGCACGAGAGGGAAGAGGGTCAGAGGGAGAAGCAGACTCCCCGCTGAGCCGGGAGCCTGATGCGGGACTCGATCCAGGGACTCCAGGATCATGACCTGAGCCGAAGGCAGCCGCTTAACCGACTGAGCCACCCAGGCGCCCATAAAATCCATCATTTGTCTTAATCCCCAACAGATTCTTTAAATTTGCTCTGTAAATATTTATATAAAAATAAATTCTAGGGCAGAACTGAGTCACCCTGAGCAAAGAGTGCTGTGGGCAAGGTGTGACCTGAGCTAGAGTCACCTAATACTGGTAGGCACTGAACAGGGAAGCAGCCCAAGCCCCAGGACCGGTACCAATCCCGTTTCTCTCAGTCCTACAGATCGAGGCTTCCTCGCCAGTAGCCACGCGCTCTCTCTCACCTAGCTCTGGGGTTGACATTTCCAGCACTCACGCTCTCTCCACGTAGACCTCCCCACAAAAACTCCTACATATGATACCCTCCAGCCTTCTGTTTCCATAACTCCTTTTCCTTTCATCAGGAGTCACAGACCTACTAAAGCCAGCCCCCAGGCCTATGGCCAATAAACGGCTTAAAAATAACTGATTTTGGGGGTGCTTTGCTGGCTCAGTCGGAAGTGTGACTCTTGATCTCGGGGTCATGAGTTCGAGCTGCACGTTGAGTATAGAGATTACTTAAACAAATAAAACTAAAGAAAACAAAAACAAACAAACAAAAATACCCAACTGATTTTGGATTCCCTTAGGTGGGCCTGCACTTTCCAGTTCTCCACAGACCCCACCATTCCCTTTTGTCTCCTTCCCAGCCATGTCACATATTTTGGTTAACTGCCGGGGCCCTGAAGAACTCTGGGGTTTTCAAATGCTCCTTTATATCTTAGTACTCCACAAAGAGCAGACACTTAAAGAGGCAGACTGTCTTACTCTGTCTCCAAACCACTGTGTGTCCTTGGGGCCCCATAAACGGCACAACACCTAAACATGAATTATTCTGGCTTCCTTTCAGTGATCCAACCTGGTCCTCCCCTACTGGGACCCAGGCCTGGGATCCAGACCTCCCAGTGAGGTCTGGTTGTTAGAGCGTCTCCATGGAATCCTATAATTTGGGGGAGAAAGTATGGAGTTGGAATCTCCCCTCCTCCCAAATAAAAATGCAGCCACTTAAATGCTCCTTTGGCCAAATCAGATTTTGACACACATGCTTTGTGTCCAGAGTTCCCAGGGATGCCGTCATATAGATAAGGAACCAAGATGGCACTGGTGTTCTTAGATCATGGATCTCTATAGGGCCACATGTTGGGACCCCAAGGAGTTTGTTCCCATGGACTTGTATGTGAATGGTGCTCTCTGGTGGTGTTCAGTGCCATGGTTCTGAGGGCCTCTGAGTTTTGGTTTACAAGCATTTGGGCTCCGCAGTCCCTGGCCTTTTGGACGATATGCTGTATTCTCTGTTCCCTGCTGCCATCTCTAGATTCCTGTAGTTCTCTATGGAGTTTCTTTACGTAGATCCTGCTCTGGGTTCCTTCACTGAGTATATCATTCCTCACCTATGATCGGGGTCTCCATACTCACATTTCCCTAGTCTGCCTGTCCAGCAGCCTCATGACCCCTTGTCTCTCTGTACACTGGAGAATCCTCAACCTTATTCTCCCTGTGGATTCCCAAACTCTGGCAACAGGACGACACAGCAGCTAATCCAGATTACAGTTTCACGGGCCCTTATTCTTAGCCACTGACCTCGAGGCAAGGCCCAAGTAGCTTACATTTTCATGCTAGAATAAAGCCAACTCCCACCAGCTACAAACCTGGGGGTCCTGCTCGATTCTCCACCGGTGTGCTGCTGGATGCAGACTCTGTTCAGCCTGCGGGGGCCGGGGCGGGGGGGGGGGGGGTCCTCAAGGGCAGGTGCCCCACTTCCCCTTTCCTCCTGTTTTAGCTGTAATGCAGGCTAGAAATCTTATCCCCCAGCTAGAGCCTGTCTTGTACCCTAATTCCTCCTCTGGCCACATCCTGCTCCTGATTAATTCTTTACCACCCTCAGAGAGAGTTGACGGTTCCCTCCTCCGCGCTCCCACAGCACTTCCGCGCTCCCACAGCACTTCCGATAGCGGCTATTATTGCCCCCATCACATTGTATTACATTTAGTTGTTTATGTGTCTCTCTGCTAGCTCCATTGTTAACCCATTGAGGACAAGGGCTGTGTCTTACTCATGTTTGTCTTTTCCAAGCCCAGTACAATAGGTATTCAGTAAAGAAATAGTGAAAGACAGGGCGCCTGGGTGGCTCAGATGGTTAAGCATCTGCCTTCGGCTCAGGTCATGATCCCAGGATCCTGGGACCGAGTCCCGCATCGGGCTTGGGAGCCTGCTTCTCCCTCTGCCTCTCTCTCTCTCTCTCTCTCTCTGTCTCTCATGAATAAATAAATAAATAATCTTAAAAAAAAAAACAGTGAAAGACTTGACCATAATTCTTTTTTCCTCTTTTTTTTTTTTTTGCCAGCAAATTACTGTCTTTCTTAGAGCTGGAGAAAAACACAAGGAAAGAATAAAAATGGGATTGGAGAAGACACTCTGTTGGAGTACTCTCAGGGTTAAACTCTACAGTTCAGGCTCAGGGATTCTCAAACTTGCATGAATTACAATGACCTGGAGGGCTATTAAAACACAGACCACTGGGCCCTGCTCCCCGCCCCCCCCCCAGGGTTTCTGATTCAGTAAATCTTGGGTGGAGTCCAGAAATTTGCATTTCTAACTTGTTCCCAGAGGATACTAAAGTACTGGTTTGGGGACGACACTTTGAGGGCACTGTTGTCCAAAGATAGAGGAGCGGTAGAATTGGTTAGAGGAGCTATGAGGACTGAAGAGACACGAAGTTTTGGGAGTGAGTGTCTCCCGAGGTTAGCTTCTGGGTGGGTTCAGGCTCTATCCAATGCTAAACTCAAAATATAACTTCTCTTGAGAAACCCCAAGACCCACAAAGAGCCAGAAGCCTCAGGCGATGAGAGAGGAAATGAAGATGGAGTGGACTCTTAGATCTAATGAGACAAATAGAGCTGATGCCCTGACACAGGTGAATCACAGATGTGCGGAAGGATGACGATATGGCTGGAGATGCTATGGGGGGGGGGGGCGGTAGAGTTGAACAAATGACAGCAGGATGAATAATAGATGAGAAGAAATGGGGACCTTGGCCAAGTAAAAATCTTATTTGACTCAAAGTACAAGTGGGGCGGCAGAGACATAAAAGGAGAAAGGGATCACAAATAAACTCAGGGCTCCTAGGAGGGCAAAAGAAAGATGCACTCAGGGCAATCAGAGACCCTTGTGGAGAAACAAACCCTAAGCCATTTCCCTCAATGCTGTATTCCTGGTGAAACGCAGGCACTCTCCTCCAGGGAACTTAAGGACCCCAGCTGAAGAGTGGCACTGAATTTTTGTTTGATCTTCTTTGGACTCCTCCACTCAGGGCAGAATTATTCAGACTAATTTTCACTCCCTTGCTACGCCCCTCCCCCAAGCCTGTACCGGCTGGTTTACATCAGTTTCTCCAAGGGACAAATCTAAGATCCATATTAACTTTTCCTTCTCTAAACCTTTCCTCTTCTGAATTGGCCAGGAGGTTGGTCCAGCACCCGACACCAAGACACATATTTGGAACTCACTCTGGCCCTTTCACCTTCAAGGAGAACTGGTTTGTGAATACCCTTGCCCATGCCTGCCTGAACCGACCGGCTCCCCAGAGCTAGAATTGTCGCTCCAGGGAGAGGGAGAGGAGGAAGGCGGCTGAGAGGCAACCCACGGAGACAGCATGCAGCAGGTTAGGAAAGGGACAAACCCGCAGCGCAGCCGAGCATGCATGCAACGCCATGGGGTCAATGGGGTAAAGTCGTCCCGCGCCAGAGTGGACAGTAAATGCCCACCGTGGTGCTGGAGTTGAAACACCCCAGCGAGGAGGCCTTGCCCGGTAGTTCTGTGCGGGGCGGACTCTAAGCCATCTGGACGTCCCGGCCACAGAAACACCTTACGCCGCTCCTTCCCCACCGCCCGAAGGGGCTTCATTCTCCCTCTGCCAGTGTTCTGGTCACCACAGCCAGCCGTGTCCCCTCTCACACACACTGTGAGAAAGCATAAAGGAGAGCATGGAGCTAGCTACCAAAGAGGCGAGGAGGAGCCCCCTCGGCTCCAGAGGGAAGCCCCCAACAAGCTCCCGAGCGGGAGCCGGGCGCGACCGCAGCACCTGGATCCGCGCCGGCCGGTCGGCGGAGGAGACGCGGCGACTGGAACAGCCGGCGCTGTCAGACACGCTCGGAGCACAGCCGACCCGATCCCTCAACGCGTTTGTCAGCCCCAACTCTTGCAAGACTCTTCTCTCCGCTCCGGAAAGGCCCGCGTTCCCCACGCCTCGACCCTCACCCCCGGTACCTGGGTGGCTGGCACATGACTCTCCATCCTGTCCCCGGGACCCGGCGGGAGCGAGGGCCAGGCGCCGCATCCTCCCTCCCGGGCTCCCCCGGCCCCGGCCCCGGCCCCGGCCCCGACCCCGACCCCGACCCCGACCCCAACCCCGCTGCCCGCACGCGGCCGCACAAAGCGCGCCGCCCCGCCGCCGGGACAAAGCGGGCCCGGGCGCCGGCACCTACCTCGGTGCGGAACGCCGGCCGGGCAGGCGGGAGTGCGGCGGGCGGAGGCGCACCGGTAGTCGCCGCGCCCGCAGCCCGGCCGCGAGGGGCGGTTGCGGGCGGCGGCGGGTGGCCGGGCGGCTGCGGGGCGCACGGCGAGCGGCGGCGGGCGCTGTCACG